ACTGAGAGATTAAATTACCGAGTCAGGGTCATGCCACCAGTATGTATCACAGGACTTGAACCCTCTTTCCTCATTCCAGAACTCTCTCTCTGCTATGCCACACTGCCTCTCTACATACACATGCATACAAGCATACATGTATGTCTGCATTATATATGTCAATAACAAGGGACTTTTGGAATTGTAATAAGACTCTGGTCTCACTCTTCCAGAGCAAGGCTGGTTACATTGAGCCCATCAGGGATACCTCTAGAACCCTAAAGAACACATACATGCATCTATACATGCATATATCTACATATATGTAGATATATATGCACACATACATGCATGTAAAAAAGCCTCACATGCAAGTCAATGTGGTAGGAGCTATTGCTACACACCAGTGTCTATTTCTTTCATGTGCACAAAGTGTAGGGAATTCTTGGTCACACTTCCACTTTTTTTCCTGTCATACACAGTCAATATCAGTTGATCCCCATAGACAACAGTAGCTTGGTTGCAAGACAGAAATCTTTGCACTGCTCCAATACGTAAGGATGACTGAACTCTTTAAATTTCTTTTGCTCCTTCCAGTTCCTTCTTCCTCACTCACTCCCGTTCTTCCTAATTTCTCTTAGGCTCTTTTTGGTCATAGAGGCAGCCCAGGAGGACTTGCTTTAAGACATCAGTTACAAAGCTCCCCCAAACTATCTTCCCTTCCCCCTTCCCTTTTTGGGTAGCTTCAGCCAAATTGTTCCTAAAGGGAGTGACGGCTCCTTCAAAGAGAATATTTTGTGGAATACAATGGGCATCTTGCTAGACATCACAGGGTATCATTATACACTCTGCTCTGTTTGGCTTCTTGGCCTCGGGGCCTTGGCCCTTGTAAATCATGATTTCACTTGGCACCCTTGTCCAGTATACAAAGTATGCTAACTGTGGATTTGGAATAAACCAGCAATTAGGAATCATTGACAAGTGCCAAAATAGAATGTAATTAATGCTGCGCAAATTGGCCAGTCCTCTAAGGAATGTTTTTCTGTTAACTCTTTAGAAAACATCCCCATTCCAGGCCTCGAAATTTTTTGTCCATTAGTGTTTTCACAGGGAATTAGTTAAAATACACAAAATTATAGTTAAAAAATGTTTTTTACATGCCATTTAATGAGAAATCAATGATCTCTAGGGCTGAAAAACCATAATGTAACTTGATTTAATTACCAAGGAGTTAAACATCTTTTTTTCAAGAGTATGAATGTGGAAAAGGCATAAATTATTGTATTTGGAAATCCATTAAACTCATCCACTCACCAGTGAGCCTTTATTCACTCTTTAGGACAAAGAAAGAGCACTCTTCTAAAAAAAAGAGTGGGGGTAGATGGGGAGAGGGCTGAGTAAGGGATGACAGTGAGTGAAAAATGAGTGACCAGTCAGAACAAAGGAAATAATTCACATTCTTAGGAGAAGCTTTGAAATCATCCTGAAATGGGAGCTTCTCCGACTTATCGAACTCTTGCTCAGCCACTCGGAGACTGGGATCTCAGAATGATTTACGCCAGGGAGTGAGAGAAGCTAGTGATATGCCACTCATTGGAGATGTGTGCCTCTGTTCAGACCCAAGACAAGGTCATCTCCATGGATGGAGTCATGCTGCAGTGGCTAGTAACACCCCTCCATCCCTGACTGTCAAACCATAAGTCACTGGGGCCTTCAGAGGCCAGACCCTAACAGTAGCAACTCACAAGTCTGAGGCTCAGTGAGTGACACTGATGAATTGAGGCTCCATTGTCTGTGAAGAGTTGGGCACAATGGGAATGAGTCTCATAAAGGAACTATCAGAAAAGCAACCTGTGTAAACTACAGTAGATTTCCTTCTAGGCAATGGGGCAGGCAAGACAAAAGGGATGGGTATAGCATTTTCCTCCTCTGCTTTTGTTGATGGTATGGGCGGATTGAGAATAACAGAGTTCAGAAAGCCAGCGATAGTTGAGGTTTGTTTTAGCTTGTGTCAAATCTTGAGCATAAATAGTTTTTACCTACTGTCCAAAATACTAGGTGCTTCCCCCCCACCCTATTACTTGCTTAGGTTCATTTCAGAACCATTTTCTTGATGGTACTCAGATGCACAAAATAAAACACACTTGCTTATGACAGTGCCTGGAACATAGTAGGTGCTTAATAAATGCTTTTGACTAACAGACATAAAATCTAGTATTAACTCAGAAAGCATTGATGGTTACAGCAACAAAACCAAGTACAATGAAAGCCTCTTGGCCAAGAGGTGAGGGTCAACAGGTTCAGAAAAGGCATGCGTTTTCAGACATGACCAGTGTATTAACTTGTTTTGCTCCGCTCTGTTTAAGGGAGGGTTCTACTTAGGGGTGGGGTGAACAGGGAGGAAGGGTCATTGGAAAATGAAAGTGAAACCAAAAAGAGTGCATTTTAAAATAAAAAAAAGAAAAAAGAAAAAAAATCTCCATGAAATGTGGGGGAAAGATTACAGGCTATGTATTAATGCTGAGCAAGAGTATGGCAGTGGTATGACCAGCACTCTTTTTGGACAAGAGGGAGGGAGGAGTTTTAGTGCCTGGATTTAGTCGAGCTTGTTATCTGACGTGAGGCACTTCACCCCCAAGTTCGAATGTTCCCCACTCCTGCCCCAAGGTCAACAATTTCAACTGTGTGCCCATCTGAAAGAGTGTGCTGGAGGTAAGTGGTTGGGTGCAGAGCACTGGTCTTTGGGATTTCATATTTCCAGTAATAAGAGTAAAGAAATAAGAATAGCTTATGTTCATATAATACTTCTTGATTTTGACTTTTGGATCCAGAATTGTGTTTTCTTCAGTGTGGGAAATTAAGAAGATGTCATTTCAGTCTTCACCCATTGCCTGGATACCACAGTCAGAGCTAGGATAGGGGCAGCTAAATGCCTCAGTGGATAGAGCACTGGGTCTGGAGTCAGGAAGACCTGAGTTTAAATCTGGTCTCAGACATTTGCTAGCTGTGTGACTCTGGTCAAGTCACTTATCCCTGTTTGCCTTAATCCACTGGAGAAGGAAATGGGAAACCACTCCAGTATCTCTGCCGAGGAAACCTTATGGACAGAATGATCTTTGGATTCATGGGTTGGACGTGACCTTACAGCTGAACGATGACAACATAGCAAGTACGTGCCAGGCAGTACCTAAACCCATATTTCCCGACCTCAGTGTCAGCCCTCTGTCCACTATGACAAACTTTTACCCACCTGATTTTCACAATCCACAGCAAGTACTCTTCCCCTCACACTTTACAAGTGAGGAACAGAGCCATAAAGAAATAAATGATTTGCCCAAGGTCGCCAAGATAGTATGAAGTGGTGTAAATAGGATTCAAATCCAGGCCTTCTATTTGCTAGCCCTGTGTGCTGCTTTCCATTACCCAAGTGGTTCTCAAAAGTTTTGGTCTCAGGACCCCTTTACACTCTTAAAAATTACTCCAGAGCTTTTGTTTATGTGGGTCATATGTATTGTTATTTCCTGTAATAAAATTAAAATTCTCAGTATTGTGAAAAATAATTTTGACCTCATAGACCCAGTGAAGGGGGCTTGGGGACCCTGAGGGGTCTTTGGACCAAACTAGGAGACTTGTGCATTACACCATGCCACTGAAGTTGCTTTTGGTTCTATATCTGATTTCATTTATATTGGGTACTCCTAAGTGGGAAAATGCCCTCTACCATTTTAGATAAGCAATGTTTCTGAAACTTGTAGTCTTAGAGGATTATCTGGGATATTGAGACATTAAAGGACTCATCTAGAGCTACTCACTTAAAAACTGTCAGTGGCTGAACCTAAACCCAGGTCATCCTGGGCTTTACCCACAGCCAACTACTGCCTCCAGCCAGTTGTACACTGGAATTCTGAACAGATTGGTGCCCCCTTGCAGTGGCATTCAACTAGGGCAATGCTTTTCCTTTGCCATTTGAAAATATAAAACCTGTTGCCCCTTCATACAGGGGAAACAGTTTCACAAGGGTACAATAAATCCTTACTCTTTCTCAATGGGTTCCTGAGAGGCTAGCAATCAATTTAATGGTCAACCAAAATGATGGATGCTACAGGGAAGTTCCTTTTTAGCTGGGCAGAGTCACACATACAATCTTAGGAATCAGAGCAGGAAGAAACCTTAGAGGTGACTTAGTTCAAACCATTTTACAGATGTCCTGAGGGGCCTAGGTCAATCTTGGTCAGGGGCCCCCAATGAAAGAACTGAAATGACCCACCAAAGAGTGTGAAGACTTCATTTCTATGCTGAAAATTACTGTAGAAAACCTTCTCGGCTTCTACACCTGCATTGCCTTTCCCTTGCCCCATTTTTCTTGAATTTCCTCTCTGTTGTGATTTCAGCTAAATGTTTCAGAAGAAAACGATCTACAAATCATAGACAGTGCCAAAACACTGGGCATTTTCCTGCCAAACCTTGTGGGGGGATTTTGGCTAGAGTGGACCACAGACTTCTCTTTCTTCAAGACAGTTCCTCATGATCTTCCTCCTCTTTCTCAATATGTTCCTGAACTGGAGGCCCTGCTGAATTAGAAACAAACAAAAAGTGTACAAGGAAGGACCTCATTCTCTAGGACATAGAAAGGAAAAGCTCTCATCGGGGCAGAAAGTGCATTGAGATCCTCACATTAGCAGTCTTGCTATTCCTGTTCTTGACAGTGGCTACTGGGTCAAGACAATGAACAGCTAATCCTCATCTTAGTAGAAAAAAAAGTGGTCCAGTGAGACATTTAAAGGGGTCAGTTTTTATATTCCCACAACTACATGGGAATCCTATACTACAGCTTGTAGTGAGGAACACAAAAATCCAATAACTGAAGATATGCAGAGCTATTATTTTTCTTGGCAAAGATGGATAAGTTTTCTTCTTTCTCCCATAAATTAGGGTTTTCAAAATGTTGTTGCTACTACATATGTCTCTTGGCAGGGCAAATGCTGAGGTTTCTTTACCCTCCCTGCTTTTCTCTCCTCCAGTTCTTTCTGCACTCTTATTCTTGGACAATCATGTGGATTTTTGTGTGGCTTTGCATGGCAGCTTCAAGCTCCAGCATTTCCCATTGACTGGATCCTCAAGAGACATACTTTACTTTTCTACCTTCTGAGATTCAAGGTACTTTCCTCTATGATGAAGTGTATTTTTTTAATGAAGAAGTGTATTTTTTTCTTGTCTTCTTCGGTTGCGGTGTCTTTCATTGGAATTCTGTTCGGTTTTTTCACTCTGTTCATTTGTAGTCAGGCCAGACCTCAGCCCAATGAAAGGATTCCCTGATCAGCCTGCGATGGGGGGGGGGGGCATGCATTTGCAGAATGGTATTATGATCTTTGTGAGCTTACATCTCCAATTGTTAAGAAAGGGGATGACCTTGATCCTGAATATTTTTCAGCTGTCTTCCTAGCTTTCGTTCCAAGTCTTCTGTCTTGTCTTTTGTCATTATATCCCACGCCACTCCAAATGGACTTGGGCTGTTTTCCCCTTCCGGGTTTTTCTATTCTGTACTTGTTGGATGTTCCATAGCCTGTCAAGTCAAATTTATGCCAACTAAACTATACCTGGAAGAGCCAATGGTCTCCAAGAGACAGGTGTGTGTATTTTGATGGGTTAATGTCAAATGCAATAGTAGCAACTGTGAAGTGCTTAGTGCAGCATCTGGCACACAGTAAGCACTTTATGAATGGTAGCTCTCACCATCATCATCATTACTTGTTATTACTGCTTTGTTTTTGTATGACATAGAAACACAGGAGAAAAAAGAGTTGCTTGATGTGCTGAGGCTTGAAACACTACATCCATGGGCCCTTCAAGGTTGTGACTTTGGAATTTCAGTTTGGGTCTGCTGTCCCCAGTGCCCTCCACCAAAAAATGATTCTTCTTTCTCTTAGATCTGCATCAGACTATTTGAACAAAAATAATAATAATGACTAACATTTACTAGGTGCTTTAAGGTTTGCAACATACTTTGCACAGATCTTGTTTGATTTTCATAACAGCCCGGGGATGTAGGTGCTATTATTGTCCTCATTTTATAGATGAGGAAACTGAGGTTGAGAGAGGTTAAGTGACTTGTTCAGGGTCACATAGCTAATTTCTGAGGCAGGATCTGCCTGACTCCAGGTTCAGCATGTCACCTGGCTGCCCCCAAAATAGCTAATTCCTGTGCAGCCTGGGGTTATGTACCGTGATTATTATTATATCATTATCATCATCATCATTATTTACCATGTGGAGGAGACTCTGATCCATATAGACAACAACTGTCTCATGTCTGGCAGGTTCTTGTGCCCCACAGTTTCATCGTGGCTGTACACATCACCTGGGCATTCTCCCTAGTGGTAAAAGAGAAGTAGATAGGAACCTTCCTTATATCTTACCTAGTTGTATCCTTTGGAATAATAAATATAAATAATAATAACAAAAATCAACGGAAATAGTTCACCAAGTCTCATTTGATATTCCCAACAACAGTGTAAGGCGAGTGCTATCCCCATGAGGATGTGGAAACTGAGGCTCAGAGACATTTTCAACCTCAGAGTCATAGAAGGGAGAATGTGTTTCAGGCAGGATTTGAACCCATTTTCCTGACTTCAATGCTGAGCTCTGTAGTCTGCCAAGTTGTTTTTTTTTGTTTAAACTCACTTCAGTGTCTTCTAGTAATTCAGTCAGTCAGGCATTCAACAAACATTTGTTACATACTTATTATCTGCCAGGTATCCTGTGGAGCACTGTGGTTACAAAGAAAGGTAAAAAACAGTCCAGTCCCTGCCCTCAAGGAGCTCACAGTCTAATGAGGGAGACAGCATGAAAGCAAGTATATACCAACAAAAATACATACAGAATCAATTGGAGAAAACCAATAGAAGGAAATAAATAGTATTGAGAGGGAATTGGGAAAGTCTTCTTATAGAAAATAGAATTTGACTGAAACCTTTAGGAAATCTCTGTGCTTTGAGATGGACATTCTCATTAGCATCCATTGATTCACAGAAAAAAAAGGTCCCAGAAAATTTTGAAGTCCAGCCTGAAAAAAGAATTTATTCCAGATAGCTCATGGCCTTTCTTGTTCTTGTCCCCTTAAGAATCTCAGCATATATTAGGGGCTGGTTTAGCACTAACAGAAGCTACACTTGCACACGGGCCAACTTCTGCCACTAGTTACATGTGTGTGACTCCTGTTTCGCACAAACACAAGCCTGAAGAATGAGGAGCTGCCACAAATATCCAAGGGCAGAATTTAGCCCTGGGTGCAAGTATGTGAGGCAAAGATTTGGCCCACACCATTTGCCCCTTGGAAAAAATTTTCCCATAGTTTTCTTTTCTCTAAGGTATTATGCAGGCCAATAATTTTCCTCATGTTTCAAACATCTCAACCTCCCTGAATCAGTTTGATTGCTCTTACTCTGACTAGAATTGCACAATCCAGTGTTTCAAATGATATCTTTTTCACTGGCCTTTTCAATGCTAGGATAAATTCTCTGATTTGTACACCATGCCCTGCTGTATACAGTTGCTATTTTTACTTTGCCTCTCGTCTACTTCCATGATTTTGCCCAACATGTTTTGAATTTGCGTAGTTGTTTACGTTTGAGACAATCATACTCTAGACCAACAATGCTCATTTTCTTTTGAAACATTTGTCTTGATGCAATTCCCAATTTGGAGGCCTAGTACATCCAACTCAATAAAGAGAGGCAAGCCTTGGGAAGATGAAATAAATGCAGGATACAATCTGCGGTGTTCTGCTCTCAATCACACATCTGTGGATTTTAGGACTTTGATTATTTTGTAGGTTCAACAGTAAGATAACAGGATCTTAGGATTTAGAGCTTCAAGAGGCCCTTAGAGTCCAATTTCCTTCCCTTATTTTGCAGACTAATTGAGACCCATACAGATTAAATGACTTGCCCAAAGTCACAGTGGTAATATGGTGGCAAGAGAAGGATTTGAACCCAAGTCCTGACTCTAAATCTAGCATTCTTTACACCATACCACACTCATCTGATATAAAAAGGTAGACTTGGAATAATGAAAAAATAATGGAGTTTTAGGATTTTGATAAAGATATTTGAGAAAGAACCTCAGAAATCTTTTTATATGTTAACTTGAGAGAACCTTAGTGGCCTACCTTCCCAATGGCTCAGATGACCTAATGTTGGTGAATTTTTGATTTTTGGGATTAAAATAGCAAACTAACAGAGAAGACGGAGATATTTATTTTTACATAGGTGCACTGGAGTTAACTAATGTAGTCATATGCTGGTAAATGTTTAACAACCAGCTCTCCGAAAAGCAGGACATGCTATGAAGTTTAATTTGCATTATTAACATTTTCTTCATTATTATTTTAAGTCTGGACAATCAACAAAACAACAAACCAAGTCCTGAATTGTAGCTTTTGCCAATTTCCAAGATGTTAATGCTCATATTGAAAATTTAACAATTGTCTCTTTGGAGCCAGTACGAGCTGACTCCAGTTGACCCCAGCGTTGGGGAACTAAATAATTTCTCAGGAATTCACAATGGGAAAAGGAGCCTTCCTCTCTTAGGTCCTTGTTTCCAGTCAGCTCCAGGATACTCATGTCATTATTTGGTGGGAGTGAGTTAGTAGAACCAAGCTTGTTTTCTCTGCCTGGGAATGCAGTGGGGTGTCCTCAGGGGATCAGTGAAAGGCACTATGGGTAAGATCACTGAACTTCACACTCACACCAATACCATCTACAAAGGTTGAGCCAAGTTGGTGGCAATGGCAAAGAAATTTGCATTGGCACCTCCTATGATGAATGAGTAGTGATGGTGGGGAATTTTAGTTTGGGGATGGGTCTCAGAAAAAGATCCATATCTATCCAGTGGATGACTTCATTGACGTATTTATGTTTCTTATGTTGAATGGGTGTTTGGTCATAATTATTAGTACTAAAACACTCTCCGAGGTTTTCTTGTATGATTGTTATGGTTGTGCAGTGAAACACAAAACTTTTAGTGAATATGTTAATTTAAAATTCATATGAATAACATGGAATCACAGAATCTTGATTTTTCTACCCCTATATTGTGAGACAGAAAATAGAATATGGGACTTGGAGTCAAAGGCTTGGATTCGAATCTATCGTCTCTTACTCACTAGCTGTGTGACTAGAGCAAGCAACTTAACCTTGATGAGTCTCAATTTCCTCTTTTATAAAGTGAAGATAATACCTATATTAGCTTCCTACATGGGTTACATGATGTAATCAAATGATATAATATATGCAAAGGATTTTGCAGACTGTAAAACCCATTTTATGTAACTATTGTCAACGACCTCCCTGAGGACTCCACTAGGATCTGCCCACCATGCTGAGATCTGTCCTTGGCTCTCTGGTTCAGAGTTCTTCCTCGTGACATGATCAGCTTATCTCCTGTTTTGATCATATATATTTTGATGGTATTCTTTACCATCTGCACAACTCCTCTTCATGAAGTGTTATAGCCTGTTCACATCTATCCCAAGCCTCTCTATTACCACCTTGGTTGATCTTCATTTTCAATTCTTTAGGGGACATACAGCTCCATGACTTGCAGCCTTACAATATGACTAAGGAAAAAAAGAAAATGAAGATCTCAGTGGTTATTGGCAAAAGGAGACATGAAGATAAAAGGTACAACAAACTCTTCCTTTGTTTTCAGAAAAAAATAGTGCCAAATCTCTTAATTCTTTACAGATAGTGCATTGTACTTTTCGTTTTAAAGATACAGATTTTTCTTTTGAGAGAAATGTGTATATTAACTTTTCATTCAAATGGGGATGATAGACTGATTTACTTCATGTTCAATAATAAAATAAAAAAAATCAAACGAAATAATAAAGTTGGCAAAGAGGAAGGAGTTCTCTGGGCCTGTTATTATCAGCCTTGTTTTATAGATATCACTGTTTTGCTGTCCCTTGTCTCAAGGCATCATTGTATAGTGTTCAGCTCCAATCCTCCCATCAGAAGTAAATTGCTTGAAGGCATTATTTGGGCAATTTACTTTTTTTTGTAATAAGTTGGCATTTACTATTTAAGTTCAAGAACAGGTTATAAAGGGAGGGGAGCTCTAGGGGAAAGGGAAGAAGGGAGGAGACAGGCTGATGAGAGCCTCTCATTTGTGTCTGCTCCAGACGGGGTTGATCCTGATTTCTGAGCCTTGGTCCAGGGCACACAGTGAAGCACATGATAAGATGAGGTTCCAGGGGCTACAGGTGTAGGAAACATCAGGGGTGGCCAAAGTTACATATGCAACCAGAGGTGGGGGCTGGGATTCAACTTGGATCAGTAGCTCCTCTTCCTTTTGGGAACTGAAGCAGAGTGATAAGTTCCATTCTTCTTATTTTCAGCTCTTACGAAACATTCTTGTAGTTAAAGTTTGTGCTAAAGAATTCTTTCATCGCCTCTCTAACTTCTAGTGCTTTGCCTCTAGTTTCTTTGAACATGCATCTGACTTGTAAGCTGCCTGCTCCAGAGCTGCTACTCACTCCTCTATTAAAGTAATCTGATCCAGATAAGGCTGAAGTTCTTTATGTTCCTACTTATTTTAACTGCAATATCTTGCATTTCTAGATACTTCAAGCCAGTCAGTTTGTTAGTATTTTCCAAAATGTTATGGTCTTCCCTGGTGGCTGTCAGCTCTCTTGTCAGGTACTTGGCCATTTTGGAAAATGTGTCCTGGCACAGCCCTGTAATGTCTTCCTCTACGGGCTCTGCAGCCTCCTCAGTCATCTCCACCACAGCATTGTCTAGGCCAGGGAAGGGAGGAAGGAGAAAGGATGGATGGGAAGAGAGGGATGGGAGAGTAGTGGGGAGGGTGGGGAAGGGAAAGGAAAGGTTAGAGGAGGGGAGGGGAGGGAAGGGGAGAAAAAGGGAAGGGTGAAGAGTTGGAGAGGGAGGAAAGGGGAGCGGAAGAGGAGAGCAGCTTACTCTTAAGATATAATTAAGTGGTCTTTCTCTTTACATTCTAAAAAACTCCTTTTAAATTTTTAAAAAATTATTTTTAAAAAAATTCAACAAAATAATTTTATTTAAAAAATGCAACAAAACAATAATGAACATTACCTATCTTAAAGCAAGCTGGAAGGTGAAGGAGCTGTAATATCTCTTCTAGCTTGCTCCATTCTGAGATTCTGTGATTTAGAATGCTTAAAAATGCATAAATGGCATTTGTTGGACAAATGAAGAGAATAAGATAAACTTAAAACTGCAACGGATGTCCTAATCTAATTAATTGTTAAAATCCATGGAATAGTCAAGAGTAGAAGCCACCTGCCACTAGGACTCAGAAATTGGAGAAAACGAAGTTTGTCCTTGGTCACACTGACAAAAACTTAATTGCAATTACTATACAAAATTTGTTGAGTGATACTCTAATCAATTCTGCTGAGGGGATTTTTATTTTATTACAAATGTATTTTCCAATTTTTGCTGCATGAAACAGACCAATGACAATATGAAATGATATTTTTTTGTTTAATGTCCAATTCAACTAACATCAAGAAATGTTCAAGAAATATTCAGTCTAGTTTTCTGACTTTTGGATCAGAAATGTAATGACATAACCTGATGGAGATGGCTATTTACAGTAGATAGAAGGCTTATTTCCCAGCTCTGTAGAAATGGAAAAAACTCATCAGCTTACCTTTGTGGCTCAAGAGAATATGATATGATGTTGCACTGTACAAAGGCTGAAGGGAAAAAAAAAATCAGGCTGGAACTGGTTTATCATGAGTAAGTTCGAGGTTTGTGTCATGCTTAATGAAATTATTATATTTCTCTCTAAACCCTCCCCCTCTTGCTAACTTCCCTAAAGCTGTTGAGAGTACTACCATATTCTCGGTCACACAGGCTTAGAACCTAGGTATCATCTCTGACCTCTCTCTATCTCTCTGTCTCTGTCTGTGTCTCTGTCTCTGTGTCTCTCTCTCTCTCAGTCTCCTCCCCTCCCACATCTAATCTGTTGCTAAGTACTGTCCTATCTACCTTCTCTACATCTCTAACATAGGTCCTTTTCTCTCTATTCACCTAGCTACCACCCTAATGCCGAGCCTTATCACCTCACACCTGGACTGTTGCAATAACCTTCTAGTTCTCTCTGCCTCAAGTCTCTCCCCACTCAACTTCTAAAATTACATTATTAAATCTGACAATGTCACTCCCCTGTTCAGAGTCTCTATCATGCCCAGGATCTATACATTCTTTGAGTTTGAAAGCCCTTTACAACCTGGTCTTTTCCTATCTTTCTAATCTTCTTATACTTGACTCTCATTCATATATTCCATGGATCAGTGACATTGGCCTTTTTGCTGCTACACATACACATACACATACACACACGTACACACTATATACGTATATACACACACGCATACACACATATACACACTATATATACATACATATATATACACACATATGTATATGTATATAGTGACTTTGTACCTTTTTACTGGCTGTGGCCTATGCCTAGAATGTCCTTTCTCCTTATCTCTGCCTCCTGGCTTCCTTGAAGACTCGGCTGAAATCCCATCTTCTGAACAAGGCTTTTAACTATTCACCCCACCACTGACGATTTTCTTCTAAGATTACTTCCTACTCATTGTGTATATATATCTTGCTTGTATAGTTGTTTTCATGTTGTCTCTACCAACAGAATGGAAGCTGCTTGAGAGTAAGGTCTATATTTTGACTCATTTGTATCCTCAACACTTAGGATAATGCCTGACACTTAGTAAATGTTTAATAAACACTGACTGATTCACACCCCAATCTTTTCATAAACCCTCAACCAACGGTCTGCTTATCATGCTTAAAGCCTCCTCCTCATTCTTTTCTATGCTTGTTGGAGTACCTGTGTTGTCCATATCGTCTTCCTCTCTCTTACTATGTTACTGGCCCACCTCTTTCCCCATCCTAAATATCTTCAATAATGTCATTTATGCCCTTCTTTCTCAAGCCATACCTGTCATTATGCTGCAAATTATTGATGCCCACTGAGGGACTTTCCATAGCTCTTGAGTTATTGAGAAAGCCATCAAGATACCCTCTAGTGATTGGAGTAGGCATAGAGAAAGCCACCAATCGATGGAAACAGAGGTCACACAAAAACTCTGTTGCCATGCTGTGATAGCACCCTATAATATTTAATCAATGTTTCATTTTCTCCTCATGGAGTTTTGACTTGTTTCTCTACTGCTGGAGATTTTTGTTGTTATTTATCCTTCATTCTTGAAGAGGACCATGACATCAGGGAGGTGATCCCAATGACATACAAGTTAATTGGATTTAAGTGAGAAAGGTCTGTGCAAAGTCACCAGTCTCACTCTCTCCTCTGAAGCCATCTAGGTCCAGTGGCTAGATGTAGACCAGACTACTAGAGACGGCCTTGGATGCAATGAGAGAGATTGGCCTTTTTCTTCCCCACTAGGCAATGTGGTTAAGTGACTTGCCCAGGGTCACACAGCTAGTAAGTGTTATGTGTCTGAGGCCAGATTTGAACTCAGGTCCTCCTGAATCCAGGGCCAGTGCTCTATCCACTGCACCCCTAGCTGCCCCTGAGCTTGGCCTTTTTAAGCTGAAGTCTTTAACAGGTTTCAATTTGAGTGAGGCAACACCCATTCAGTGATTAAGGCTAAGGAAGAAATGAGGCAAAGAATGGCCTCTTTACCTAGTCAAAAAAAAATGGAGTCTCATCTTAAAGTAGAGTGTTGGAAGAGGAAATTTTGTAAATTGATACATAAGAGTATTTCAGTTGTGGGCATGGCATTTTAGGAAGAGCAGTCATAAGCAGAAGATGTCTAGAGGGGGCCAATCAGGAAGGCCCTGGAGTCCAGGCCATGTGAGGATTGGTCAAAAGAACTAGTCATGTTTAGCATGTAGAAAGGAAGACATGGTGGGCATAGGGGAGGCATCATGTATGTATGCACACATTGGAAGAGTTGTCAAATGTAGGAGGGATTAATTTGTTTTGTTTGCCCCCAGAGAGACTAGGTGAAAGGTGCAAAGAGGTAAATTTTAGCTTGCTATAAAGAAAACCTTCTAACCATTTGAATTCTGCTTAGGTGGAATGGGCTGCCTCAGGAGACAGTAAATTCCCTTTCCCTGGAGGTCTTTGAATAAAAGCTGTGCCACCACTTACTGGGTATGTTGTAGAAGGGACTCTTAAGGACATGGATTAACTAGATGGAGGCTGAGATCCCGCATAATTCTAAATTTTTGTGATTTGAACTGGTAATTCAACATGTTCCTTTTTCAAAGAGCTCCTTCTTCTCCCCAGTTCTTATCTCGCATCATTCAAATGCCTTCTGTAGCTATTTCCTCCTTCACCTGTTTCATGTGAAGAGAAAGCCCTTCTCCTTGCCTGGGCAAAGTCCTCTATGGGCCCAAGAGATCCTATTTCATCTTATCTTCTTTAGCAGATCACTCCCTTTATCATCCCTACTCCATCACTAATCTCCAATAGCTCCTGGTCTCCTGGCTGCTTACCCTACTTCCTACAAACACACCTATGTCTCCCCATCCTCAAAAACCCTGACTTGAACTTTCCATACCCACTAACTGTCATTCTGTTTCTCTCCTTTTTGTGACTAAATTGCTTAAGAAGGTTGTCTACTATAAATTCCTCCTTTTTC